ATGAAAAAAGAAAACCAGCCCCAGCCCAAATGGCAAAAAACAAACGACAAAAAAAAAAAAAAACACTCTCACGGAGCCCGGGGTTTTGCCTCATGCCCGGCACCCAGATACGTCTCGAGCGCCCAAAACCTGAACCCCCAATTCGATTCCCTGAGAGTGTTGAACTTCTGCACGCGATTCGAGAATGCCAAGTTCTATGCAAAGCCCTGGGAAACAGGTTGAGGGCTCGTACTATGGGGCCACCTGTCCAACCTTGCAGCCACAAGCCAAAGCCAAACTGCTCGATCTTGAGCCCTGCAAACAGTCTTCCGTAATTATTCGTGTCACGTAGCCTGTCTCTCATACCTCGAACTGCTGAATACTATAAAACCCACGCTATCCTTTGCAGCTGCGATGCACAGCTTGGGTCCAATCTTGAACCGCTGAAGCCCAAGTGTCTCAAACCTCTCGAGAAGCTGCCAGGACCTGGACTCAAGGTCCGCCGCCAGGAGCTTCCCGAGGACCTCCCCCAGGCTTCGCAGGGGAGCGGAGTTGCTCTGAACAATAGGATTGCCGGGCTGTCAGGAATTAAAAAGACACAATGGGATTATGAAAGTGTGGGGCTTCAAAAATGTGTTGTCTTTTGGGCTATCCGAAACATATAGAGTGGCATGCCTACTGTTGAGACATCCTTACGTCTGTGGTGTTAAGTGCACCTTCAACGGGCTGCCAGAACGAGATCCGGATGTAGGGGCTTTCTAGCTGGGGTCTCTGTTCTTCGCATGGGGATGTACATGATCTGGGCGCTCTGTACGGTAGCACGCTCACGTATGAGGGGATTTGTGCCCATCCGTTTGATGTATGGAGGGGTACCTACCTCATTATGATCAGTAGGCAGTTTGCTGTGTTTGGAGGTGCTGCCTGCCTGCTCCTGGTCTATATCATATTGCATTGCATGGTGTCAAGAGCAAGTCTTCCATGGAAATCATCTGAGCCATGCGAATATGCTGTCTGTTTGGGAGCTTGGGCCAATGCCAGGCAATGAGTTGAATCAATTGAACTGAGCAAGTTCATGCAATTCAGATGATACCTGAGCTTCATGCGTACAAGCAAAATCGCATCTTACGCTTATTACCCCGCAGATCCTGCTTATGTGACAACAAACCGGACGAGCTTCTGACACAACAGATATAGTTAATATCTGTTAACCTGGCAGTAGAACCTGGGTTTACAGTAAGTCTCAGGCCTATTTGTACTTACAAGGCGAAAAGGAAGGTTGGAGCCCCCAAGCTTCGACTTAGCCACATTGTCACGCCCAATTTGTAATTCAATAAGCCTTTGCTGGTCGGTTGTTAGGATGCTAAGGGGAATCGGTACCCCAAAGCATGCCCTGAACGAATTCCAAGAAGTTCCTCGTCAGCCCCCACAACCCGTTCAGAATCCATTTGAACAGATGGCAGGTAGTTACAATCCTGCATATCAGCGACACACACTCCTTGCACCGGAGACTCGGCGTCCCGCAGATTTGAAGTCTGTTCCTCTTCTAGTAACGCACACAGGGATGGGCTCGTACAACGTGTGTCTGTCGGGATCCCCAACCGTCCAGCTATGATTCAAATGCAGAAGGGTTTGCAGAATTAAGGGCACTGGTGGATTCAGAGGGAGTGGTTGCAAGGGGCTAAGATTCGGCAATGCCTCAGAGTCTCGTTGGAATGTCCCCTTAACATCTTAAAAATTCCATTGCAGAGTCCACTTATCAATGCTTTTCCATTGCGTCACATAAGGATCCAAGCTCGAAGGCTCGGTATGAACTGAATTGGTTCAGTTCGCCCCCCGCCCTTTGAAAGGCATTTTGCAGGCTTCGCAAATTGAAGCGTGCGGGGCGAGGCGCACAAAGCATCTGACTAGCAAAGATCCAACTTGTAGAAGTTCGAGCCCAAAAGGTATTTTTCAGACTGCCGCGGCGCGTGCGCCCCACATTGCAAGCTTCTTGCCGCTCCACGTAAGTCGCAGGGTACTCGTTGTTGCATGCTAGAGTATTCGTCTACTGTACTCTAGACCCCAGCTGTACTTCAGCTCCGGAGTTGCATAAGGAGCGGCTTTGAAATGCCTGACGCCGACATCCTCATCCATTCTGGACCTTTCGGTCTTGCGTGCTGAACTTGTAGCTAAACAGGAGGAGTCCCGAAACGCATGCGATGCTTCTACCGAAAAGCATTCAAGGCATGTAGGCCTCCACAGGGCACTCTTGATATTTTGGAATAATATTCCAGAGTTCTCGGCAGCAGAAGGGGAAGAGGGAAATTTTTGGAGTTTGGAGACGCTGCTTTTTAACAATGCCCTCGCCTGTGAGGTGATGGTGCGTCTTGCGGAAGCACTGACTTGATAACAACAGGCAATACTCGTGAACCTACCAGTAGCAGCATGATGGAATTTCATTCCCTACAAATCTTAGACTCAGTTGCTCACTTGTGAAGAGCCAAGAAGGTGAAATACTTGTTGATCTACCGCCCTTGGCAGGGTTTGGCACCAGAAGCCTTGTGCGGGGTAGATCACATGGTGTCCAGCTCTGGTTCTACGGTTATGGCGATCGCTCGTGACTATGACGACTGTGATTATTAATTACTGGTGTTTCTATTCCTGTATTATTGTAGCCAATCAGTCAGCAAGTAACCCGCTGTTCAGGTTGGCATCATGTGTGGGATTTGTTCCTGCTGATGCTGGCGGCAGCGGCGGTGGCGGGAGAGGGGTGGAGCCCAGTGGGTGCAGGTGGCGGTGGTGG